CTATCAGTTTTCCACCCTTTAATGGATTATTTTCACAATCACGAAAACATGCTATAAAAGCAGCCACCCAATAAAAATTGGCTCCGCTAGCTACTGTACCATCCATTTGTTTACTAATATCAACATTCAAAATAGTTGCCTATGTTCTCTCTATGCACAGCTTTTCATCTCATCAATTTTTTATCCCCACCACTCATTGATTTTTCTGCTGTGACTTCCATGTTTCCAAATCCAGTGGCCAAACCAAGCACAGCTCCATGATCCAGTAGGGTACTTGGCACAGTCATTCTATCCTCATCACTTTTTGCTTCATCTTGTACCTTCCTGTTCCCTCTTTCTCAACCTCCACTGTCTGGACCTCCTTGTCTTTCCATCCTCTGAACTTTAGAGTATCCCAAGACCCAGTCTTTACCTGCTTCTCTACTTATGCCCACATCTTAGCCAGGCTCATGGTTTTACATGCCATTTCTCCACTAATAACCCCCGAAGAAGATATAAGAATCAGGTCTTGGGCTGGGGATGTGGCTCAAGCGGTAGCGTTCACCTGGCATGCATGTGGCCCGGGTTTGATCCTCAGCACCACATACAAACAAAGATGTTGTGTCCGCCAAAAACTAAATATATATATAAATTCTCTCTCTCTCTCTCTCTCTCTCTCTCTCTCTCTCTCTCTTACAAAAAAAAGAATCGGGTCTTATTTCTTCCCTTTTCAATATGCACTATGGTGGACTATCCTAAGAAATCCACAGCATGATTGTGCCTTACTTCTGGATTTTGCCTCACTCTGCTGAAATGCCCCTATTTGAATTTGGTTTCCTATTGTTGCTATGCCCTCTCATTTTGACCAATGAGACTCCTCTCCTTTAACTTCCACATCCTTCTCAGAAGTGCAGAGAACTTGAAGCTGTTTCCTTGCATCTCTCTGGGACCATGACTAGCTCAGTAAGATTAGCTCTGTCTCTCTGCCTCAGTGTCCCACTGCCATCTGTACTATACTCATGCCATGGTGTCATGGCTTCTCTGTAAAACTTTCATCTCCTAGGGTTTCAGATAGAAGCAGAGCACACTAGCCTCCCATGTGCTTAGATCACAATTACTATTTGGGAGTTAATGTTTTCCCAAGAGTTAACATGGCAAGGAAGAAGGGATAGGTAGAGGGTTGCCTATTAAAGAACCTTCCTATTCAGTTTCCCCAAGATTCATATGCATTTTTATATTGGACAAGTTTATCTAGACTACAAAAAGAGGAGTTTTTTTTTTTTTTTTGTCAATGACTATTCCTCCAAATTATACTACCTTACATCTGGACTATGACTTTTTTACTTTAAAGGCATTTAGGGTTCTGGATCCAGTTATGATGGAATAAGCCTATTCTTCACTCTCCCTTTTATTACAACTAACACCTCCAGGAAGGATACAGAAAAAAAATGTTGGAGAACTCTGGAAAGTAAATCAGAGTGGACAAAATGGAGAGAGAAATCAAGCTCAGAGAATGCCCCATATTCCTACCCATGTCCCACATGGGCAGTGGAATTTGGGTTTCCTCTCCGTGGAGTGGGTTGGCTGCAAAATTAAGCTAAGAAAAGAAGGTGGTGGGGAAAAAAAAAAAAACACAATACACAGAAAGTAATTTTAGAAATCAGGGTGGAACGGCTCTTCTACATTAGGGGTCAAGCTTCCACACTGGAAAGAGAGTGACAGTCTGCGCATTTGGTTTATATATGGGGGAAACATCGAAGGTTTTCTACAGGATGTTCTTTTGCCAAATAAGGTAGGAGGTGGGCTGTTCAGGCTCTAAATAGCTCAGGAGTAGCTTCCCACACTACATGGCATTGAGAACTCTGCAATTCTTCCCGTACTGCCCAACTTATAGTTTAGGGCATCCCATAAATTGGAATTGTAAACAGACACAAGTGTAAAAAAAGCTCCTAGAGAAACACCTCTTACAACTAGTCAGAATCTACAAAAGAGACCCTGTAGTATGGAGCTCTGTGGAGTCTCTCAACACTCATTCTGGTGATGCCATAACAAATGTGGAACCTGCCATGATGACAGTTGTGGTAGCCACCCCACAGGTTGGGTTTCTTGCCCCCTTTCCCTAAAGTGGACCCCTTTGTGGAAAGTGTGTGACAGCACTGAGAAGCCAAAGCCCCAGCTTCCTCGCTAGGGCACCAGGAAAGGATGATCACAGGAAGTACCATGTGAGTGGAGGGGACCAGAGAAAGATATCCTTTAGATCTGTGTACGAAATTCTGGAGTCTCCCCTCAGCTATTTATGCCTGGAGTGGACAAGAATCTATAGAACGAAGCCTTTGAGAATTGAACTACAAAGTAGAGCACTCCCAGGACCCAGACTAGCCCTTGAGTGGCATAAATATAAAGCAGATCAAAGCAGCACTGAAACTGCTTTGAAAGGTAAATTAGCATTGCATGCACAGCCCTTGGAAGGTGGGTCAGGATTTACAGAGTGAACTCAGTTAGGTTCACTGCCTATTAAAATCAACATTCCCCAGAAGATTTTAACAAGACCCAAAGTCTGCTAACCTCGTATTTTAAATATCCAGACTAAATTCCACAATTATACAACACACATATTAATAAGAAAATCCTTTTTACAAAAAAAAAAGAAAGAAAAACTCTCGAAAGGCAATTAGCAGATTGCAATCCCCAAATAAGTCAGATATTGAAATTATTGGAGAAATAATATAAAGACTCTTGAAACAATTAGATAGACATTCTTAGCAAAGAATTAGTAGCTATTAAAAAAAAGAACCAATTTGGAAATTTTGGTAATGAAATATAAAATAAAAAAATTCACTGGAAAAGATCAATAGAAAAATGGATATGAAAACCAAAGTCCGCAAACTTGAAGAGAGGTCAGTAAAAATGATCTGATATGAACCATAGAGGGGGAAAGATTGAAAAAACAGACCACAGAAGCCTATGGAACAATGTCAAAGTTTCCAGTATTCATGTCAGTGGTGTGCAGAAAGAAAAGGAGAAAGATATTAGCACAGAAAAAAGAAAATTGAAGAATACAACAATGCAACACAAAAAGAAAAATCCATAGAAAAAATATCATTAGGATTTATCAAAATTTAAAAACTTCTGCTCTCTGAAAGACACAGAGAAGATGGAATGACAAAACACAGGCTGTGAGAAAATACTGGCAAACTAGATATCTGACAAAGAATTCATATTTAGAGTTAAATTCTCAAAATGAAACTCTCAAAAAAATGCTCTCAAAATGAAACTGTTAATATAAAAAGTCCAATTAGGAAGTGAGCAAGAGACATGAAGAGATATCAGTGAAGAAACGTACAGGTAGCAAATGAAAAGTAGCAGACATCACTAGTGTTGAAAGGAAAATTCCTTAAATCAATTAAGCTTGGCAGGATTTATCTGAGCAAAGCAAAACAAAGACAATTCATAAATCAAGAAGCTCCCAGCAGGTTCTTAAAACTCCAACCATGTGATCAGACAGCATTTATAGAAAACTGCAAACAAGTCACAGAAAACATACTGACTATAGCCAAGTCAATCAACCAGTCGGCCGATTACAGCTTAACTACTTAATTGTTGACAGCCTGATCAGTCTGCTGGCTACTGGGCTAACACAACTGACCAAAGCTCAGTTACCATGATTAAACTCTATAATGACTTGGTCTGTTAGACCCAGCACATGTGCCCAGCCCAAATGTTTCACCTCCTACAAAGTATTATTTAACATTAGCCATCAGGGAAATATAAATTAAGATCAAGGAGTGATATCATTTCATACCCCTTGGCACAACTAAAACAATCACTAATGCAAATACCAAATACTGGCAAAGATGCAGAGAGATCAGATCTCTCATACATTGTTAGCAAGATGACAAAATGGTAAAGCTGTTCCAGAAGTAGTTTGATAGTTTCTTTAAAAATTGAACATACTTACCATATATTCCAGCTATCATAATCCTGAGTATTTGTTATTGAGAAATAAATAAGTCATTTTCACTAAAATCTTATACAAGAATGTACACAGCAGCTTTCCTCAAAACTGGAAATGACTAAAACAGCCTTCAGCGGGTGAATAATGACTAAACGCCCTGTCTTAATTCATAGCACAGCAATGAAATGGGATGGGCTTTTGATGCATGCAACCTGGAAGAATCACAAGGATATTATTAAGTAGGAAATCTCAAGCACAAAACGTCACATAGCATATTATTCTGTCGTGGAAGAGGTCAAAGGACTTCCCAAAGAAGGGGAACATCAACTTAAGACAAGTTGGGTTCTTGACAAACATCACAGAAATGAATTTGAGGATGTGTTTATTAAAGGCACAAAGATTTATTTAGGAAAGCAAGGGATAGCCATTAGAGGGAGAATGTGGGCAATCTTCAAAGTGAGGGACCCTTTGGGGGAATCTCAATTTTTTTCTTCCAAAGAAACTTGCTGAGGGGGTGTGCATGAGAAAGTATACGAAGAAGACATCAGTCTGATAATCACAAGACGGTATGTGGGGGTGCTGATGCAGTCTCCATTATCTGATCAACCTATCTATTGACAGGAAAGTACTTTAGGTTTCAGATCTCTTAAAATACCATCTCTCTCTTTGCTTAGAATAATTAACAGTGTACAAAACAGTTCTCGTAAGTGGATGAATTTCCAGGAACTCTAAGACTTACATATTTCCCAGAAATCTGAGAGTGACAGAGCTGGGATAGAACTAGCTTGGGGAGTGGCAGACCTGGAATGGTATGTATGCAGAACTTCAGATTAAAGTACACTCCTTGTTTGTGGGGAGCAGAGATGGGAATCAAGGTGTCTGATTACCTTGTGATTGTGGTGCGCTTCCACTGGGATTTCCCTGTACAAGAGTATAGGGTTAGTATTTCTTGTGCAAAACCACAGGGTGAACATTCCCCAGTTGCTACGCACGCCTGCCCTTGTGAGTCATAGCCATGAAATATCCACAGATCCCAAACCCGGAATGAACCACACGAGACACTGGCTGCAAAAAGCAGGAGGCGTTTATTCTCACACAGGCGCCTGCGGGTGCACAGCAAAACCTCAGCCGGAGCTTCGGTGAACTGGCACACCGGGCTTTGGGGTATAGATCTTTTATAGGGAACAGGTGGGTTAGGTCTTAGCTTAGCACAGCAACAGCCTTCCTATTGGTCCCTCTGAATTCAGCAGTTGAGTCACCTAGGGGGGTAAACTTGTTTTCCCACTTTAGTTCTCAGAAAAACCATAAAATTGCATCCTGTCCTTTTAGTTCCTGTTTTTACCCTGTTTGCTCAAGTTTGGCCCTTCCGGGGTTATCTATATGGAACATCTTGCAGCTTCAGGGCACAGGGGTTAGTTTTCCTAATGTTGGGCCTGGGGCCTTGGGGTCCTTCATTCCCCCCTTTTTTTATATCATGGATATAATCTTATATCCATTGACCCATCTGCTCGGATTCCAGCATTATTTCAGCTGACGGCTCAGCATACTGGTTGGGGGTTGGTATTTACTATTAATCTAATTTTGAATAGGACCCCAGGGTCATAGGCAGTTTTATGATATACTCTCAGGCCCCATTGTTTTTTTTTTTTTGTTTTGTTTTTTTTTAAATTATATTTCTTGTCCCCGATAATACTTGTCATGTCTGGCTCACAGATTGGTTGGGGTTAACTGAAATGGGGAAGACACAGCACAAAGCAAGAAAAATCAACAGCGAGTGAGTCTTATCTTTAGCGGATTTTGGGTACGTTGCAACTTTCATTCTGGATCCGGAGAGGTGTCTGCGGACTCCTGTGGATGTGCAGTCTTCACGTGGGAAGCATGGATCTAAGCAGCGATGCCGTCCACTTTGAGTGCAGTAGGAGTGGTCAGCAGGATAGTGTAGGGTTCTTTTCACCGCGGTTCGAGGTTCCTGCTCTGGTGCCTGCGTACCCAGACGGTATCTCCGACCTTGAAGGGATGTGGCAGCAAGGGGGTTTTAAGTTCCTCTTTGTATGCTGCGGCTAGAGGCTTCCAGACCTCGTTCTGGACCAATTGCAAAGCATGCAAATGAGTCTGCATAGATGGGGTGAGGGAGGCATAGGTTTTAGTTTTATAAAAGTTAATAGCGGGAGGTGGGGCACCGTACAGGATTTTAAATGGGGTTAGTCCATGTGGGCCTGGGGTGTTTTGGGCCCCATACAAGGCTAAAGGTAGGAGTTGTACCCAGTCTCTAGTGCCAGTTTCAAGTGTCAATTTAGTTAAAGTCTCTTTAATGGTTCTATTTATCTTTTTTACCTGTCCTGAACTTTGGGGTCTATAACCATAATGTAATTTTTAATTAATTTTTAATGTATTGGCTACCGCCTGACTTACCTGGCCGAAGGCAGGCCCATTAAATGTTTTCTTTTTGGTCCTCATTATCAGGATCAAAGGGAGTAAACCTCCGATAAGCCTCTTTTAATTTTTCTAAGGAGGCTGTCGGAGTTTCCTCTGACCCCTGGATAGTCTGTCTTACCTGAGCCAAATTGGTGGGCCGTCGCCCTGCTCCATGGAGACCCCCCTGCTCCATGGAGACCCGCTATGAGTAACTGGCGATAGAGATGTAGGTGGTTCTCACCTGCTTCAGTCGCATAGTCCCAGTTTGGCCGGGTTAAAGGAAAAGCTTCGTTAATCAAATTTGTGAGTTGGGTGGGGCGCCCGTCGTCCCCTGGCACATTTTTGCGAGCTTCCAAAAGAACCTTTTGTTTCTCCTCTGTGTCTAATAGAGAAATCTTTAATTCTGCTACTTAGGGCTGGATAACCATATTAGCAAACATCAAGTCTACCTGTGTTGTCTAGAAATAAAAGCCTTAGACTAAAACTATTCTAGTAGTTCCTTTGACAGTTATCAGGCATTTCTGTCTAAGAATCTCTTTTGTAGCCTCCAGTCTATTTATTTATGGAAGTTACATTTAATTATTATTATTATTTAAGATGTCCAGGAACAGCTGTGCTTTGGCTTTGACTGTCTTTGCTAAGTGTTTAAGATGAAGCAAGTCAAACTGACTTTTGTTTCTACCTATTGTTTACAGTCAGCTGAGTTATCCTGGGAGTCCTCGGGAACTTCATAGCAGCTTTTCAGTTCTGCTAGTGCCATTTGCGCTAGGATGGGTCCAGGCCTTGTTTGACCATATGGCTTCCCTCAGAAGCATCAGGGATGTCTCCCTTTTTTAATGACCCTCCTCTTTACAGCAAATGCACCATTTGGCTTTCTGTCCTCCACTGGTCTCATTAATCTCCCTGCTCAGGAGGTTATGTGGCCTAGAGTTGCTGAGTCCTTTGGAGAAGTCCCCTATTCCCTGATTCAGACTGACTCAGAGGGCAAGAGCCAAATATTGGTTTTCTTGGCCCTTTTAATTTAACTAATTTTAAAAACTTGATCTTAAACATCCAGCAAATAAATTAACAGCCTTATATTAAGAGCACTGGGCTTTAATGTCTATCTCTCTATCCTGTAGGTGATAACTTTTTATCTTATGTTGACCCAGGTTGTGTTCTTAAAGCAATACCTCTTTAGAATATTAATAGGCAATCTTTAAACCATTTATAAGCAAACTACAAAACAAAACTAACTAGGGTAAAAACATATTTAGCTTATATAATAGCTACCTTGAATTCTGGCAGGGTTATACATCATAATTTCCTGTTTGAGATCCTAGTAATCTTGGCAAAAACCTACTTTTGGACACAACTTTAACTGTACTGAAATCTGGCTTACTTTTTTTATAGCCATTTTCACATGTAGTGAGATGGGACAGAGCCTTATCTCAAGTAAGGCAGGGCTCTTTATAAATCTCAAGTACTATAGTTCTGAAGCTGATCATTTTACAAAGTTTACATAAATTGTTGTTCAAGTTTACATGAACATTAGCTAACACAACATAATATTACACCTAAAATATGAATTAAAGGCTGAAAGCTTTTAACCTCTTGTAGAAAAGTAGTAATGTACTTTTGTGTTTTGCAATAAAACCTTTACACAGATTAGGCTCTTATTAACTTAAAAATACATAAATTGTATCTTAGAGTAGAAAGTAACATGGAACTGTACATATCTTATTGATAACAAGTTCAGTTATAGAACACAAATGATATAATTGAATTTTTAACATTTTTTTTTTAAGCCTAAAATTACCATACAACTTTAGAACACCAGCTTGATATAATGTTCTTTTGAAGCTTTTACCTTACAGACTTGTATACCTGGAAGATATGAACACATTAATAACACCATAATTATATAAACCTCCTTTTGTTCACATTTTGAAACAATACTTGTAAACTTTTAAATTTAAGTAGAGTTAACATTTTATTAGGGCCTTTTTGAACACCTAGAGAAACTTATAAGCTTAATTTTGAGGACATTTTTACTTTTATCTGTTTACCCAATCTAAATTGAACCGTTTGAATCACGTGAATTAAAGATATTTGGATCTATTTTTAATTTTTTTTTTTTCAGGCTACCCAGTTCAAAATTGAAACTTTTAAAATTTTTTATCCCAAGTATTTAAGTTTTCTAGCATGAACTATCTGAAATCAAACTAAACAATTGTTTAAACCCAACTTTTAACTGCAAGATAGTGCAATGCTTTAGAAACCCATTCAGATACCAGATTGTTACAATAAAAATTATTATTATTTATTTTTTAGACACATATTTAACCTAGATTATCCCTAAGAAACAATTAGACAACCAGATAAGAAAATATCTCTCCAGGTTTTGAACTTTCATTTAATTATGACTCCCATCAGTGGCACCATAGATTTTCCTATGAGTGGACCAGATGTTTTCACGTAGGGGCAACTATAGGTGTAAAATCAAGGGTCTCAGTGTGACTGGCTTTACTGCATTCAGTGTCCCTTCTTTTTAAGTAAACAGAGGTTAAGTAAACAGATCCTTAAGATGTAGATAAGGACCCAGGGAACTCCCCAGAGCTAAATGGCTCTGGCAGCTGCTGGGAGTCCCTTAATCTTATCTTTCACCCACAGGATCAGTTCCTCTAGTTTAGGTAATTTTTTTTTTTTTTTAACTTGTTAGTAGCCAGCTCCCAAAAAGTCCATCCTCTGCTTGCAGTTGTTTCGAGTGCTAGGCTTCCCCAAGAAAGCAGAGTGGGAACTCCTTAAAAGTCCCCTTGAGAGTGTCAAAATTTGTGACTGAAAATTTGGTTCCCATCTCTAAAGTTAATTAACATTAATTTAATAATGAGGACAGGACTTTGAGAAAAGTCAAAGCGAGATGTCAAAGTTGTTAAATCCCCAGCAGGCATCTCTATTTGCACTCAAGCCGGTTATGGGGGGGGGAAGAAAACATTGCTTCCCTAGTCTCAGTATTCAGCCTTAGATAGAATTTATCATCCGCCTTGGGCTGCATTTCCAAGCAGCCCGACTCCAGGAAGACCCGTTCGCTTCCTGGGGTGGAGGGGCCGGGAGGAACAGGGACGGGACAGATCCACCATACCGCCGGGTGGAATCCTCCCGGCGGACTGCGTGGATCCCACCCATGCAGGAGGGGATTCGCAGAGGTCCTGAAAGGTTAAAAGCCATGATCTGGATGGCCATGCGGCCCCGGCTGAAAGACAATCTCTGACTTTGCAAATTAGAGAGAGAGATGGAGGGATTCTCCTGGGGGCCATTTAACTTTGAGGGTGGGCCAATACTGGCCACTCCGTGGTACAGAGTGTTACCCATTTTTTCTTTTTGACTGCCACGGACAGGTTGTCTGCCCGATCTTGAACGTCTTGCCAATGATCTAGAGTTAGGCTCAAAGGGGTTGTTAGTGATTGTCCCCTGTTACTCTCAGAGAGGAAATAGAGAGACAGACACAATGACACAAAAACGAAACCAAACAGTGAGATCGCTGCGCGGCTTCGGTGGAAACCGAACAAATCAGATGGCCTGGGAGAAGTTTGTACTTCTTTGTCGCCTACAAAAATGGTGTAACCCTCGGAAACACCGGGGGCCCCAAAGAAATGGACCCTTCTGATCCCTGGGACGTCTCCCAGGGTGGCAGGGGAGAAGTCCGAGTTCGTCAACTCCTTCTCAAGCTGCCTCAGAATACTAAATGACAGAACTGCCTCAGAATACTCAGAATACTAAATGACTATGCCTAGGATCATATAGTCGTACAGACGCTGCGCGGAACAAAGAACAGATAACCAACAGGACAACAAGACAGTCAGTTTGAGCTGGCCAGCTTACCTCCCAGTGATGTCGGGTGTCCTCCGGATAGGGACCGGGATCGGAACCGGAACCGGGATCTTGGATCTCGGTGGGGCCTCCACAATGAAATATCCACAGATCCCAAACCCGGAATGAACCACACGAGACACTGGCTGCAAAAAGCAGGAGGCGTTTATTCTCACACAGGCGCCTGCGGGTGCACAGCAAAACCTCAGCCGGAGCTTCGGTGAACTGGCACACCGGGCTTTGGGGTATAGATCTTTTATAGGGAACAGGTGGGTTAGGTCTTAGCTTAGCACAGCAACAGCCTTCCTATTGGTCCCTCTGAATTCAGCAGTTGAGTCACCTAGGGGGGTAAACTTGTTTTCCCACTTTAGTTCTCAGAAAAACCATAAAATTGCATCCTGTCCTTTTAGTTCCTGTTTTTACCCTGTTTGCTCAAGTTTGGCCCTTCCGGGGTTATCTATATGGAACATCTTGCAGCTTCAGGGCACAGGGGTTAGTTTTCCTAATGTTGGGCCTGGGGCCTTGGGGTCCTTCAGCCACTGGCTCCTAGGAGTAGAAGATTTTAAACATAGCAAGATAATCATGATGTCTTGCCCGTGCTGGGAACTTCAAAACTGCCTGCTTTGCAGAAACTTTCTCACAAATAATCTTTTGATGATAAAAAAAATCTATATAATTAATGTGTGGAGCCAGCTCTGGATGTTCCTCGATCAGAGGACAATACCCACCTAATCCCACCTTTCTCTCTAAATATTTGTGTGTTTTTCTTAATCCTTCCTCACCTCTCGAAGGTTTCTGAACTGACAGCTGTTCAGGTCACAAGGCTTATCCTCCATTTTGTCTCCTTTTTACCTATTTTTAAAAATGTCTTCTGCTCTACCTCAATTATGTCTATATAATATTCTCAATTACACTAGTGTTGTCAAGGGATAGTGAGAGGAGTAGGGGGTCAGGCATGACTACCAGGGCTTTGGTGGTAAAGGGATGGTTCCTACCTTGATTGCAGCTACAAACATTTGAACATGTGGCAAAGGGCACAGAGCTCTACACACAGACTGCTGGTGTCCGTTTTCTGATTTTAGACCATGTTATATAAGACATAAGCATTGAAGAAACCTGCATGGAAATTACATGGGGGCTCTCCACAGTGTCTTTGCATCTTCCTGTAATCTATTCTTATTACAAATTAAAAAAAAAAAAACAAGTTTCAAGAAAGGTCATGGAACTCTATATATATATAAAAGTGAATTATATTTTATGTAAAACAAAGCTAGACTTGCTGGCTGAGAGTCTTGCCCTGTGTGGTGTTCAATCCTAACACAAGAGACTCAATCCTCAGCTTAAAAGGCAAAACTTGTTTGACCTGTCAATGTAGTCTCAACTTCTTCCTATAGAGTTGATTTAGGGATTCCCAAGTGACTAAATGTTTGACAATAAGACAACAGGGAAGAAGTGTGCAACTGTGGATTCATTGCAAGTTTTTCTGGCTCTTAGAAGAACCAATGAAGTGTCAGTTGGATGTGACACCTATAACAGCCATAGCCATTCACTGGTACAAAAATGAAGCCAACCCACAAAGTTTAGAGAACCACCAGAGAAGTGAAAATGGATCTTCATTTAATTAGACGCTGATTTCAGATCCACTGTCTGAAGTCTTTGTAGTGTGAGATAAAAAACTTCTGAATTTTGAAACCAGCAGTCTTGGTCCATTTTTTGTTGCTATAACAAAATACCTGAGGCTGGATAAATTATAAAGAAAATTTTGGCTCATGGATATGGAGCCTGGGGAGACACCACCAACATCTTCTTGATTCCTGGGGAGGAACTTACGCTGTGTCACATCTACCTGGGGAAGCAGAAGGGGGAAACAGGCACACACAGAAGGAGTATATATGCAAAAGAGAGAGAGGAGGTAGTAGGTTCACTTGGTAATAATCCACTCTGGCAGTAACCAATCCAAATCCCAAGAGTGTGAGAACTCACTCATTCGCAGGAATCCTAATTCTCAGTGAAAAGCATTAATCCTTCTTCAGGATCGAATTGCCCCTAAAAGGCACCAGCTCCAAACACTGCCACCTGGGAGACAAAGCCTCAGCCCAATTGTGGGTGGGGACAAACCATACTCAAACAACAGCACCAATAGAAGGTGAGATGATTCCCTGGAATTGGAGCTCTCCTTAGTGAGATGGTAAGGATGTCTTCCACAGCAGAGAACTCACTGGATTATCCTTTCTATTGGAAATCGTTCTCAAGCATGACTGTGTCTCAGAAGGAGGTGGTTGAACTACAGATTGCTAGGTCTCCCACAGCTTTTCTAATTCCATAGGTCTGGGGCCCCAGGATTCCAATTCTTACCAAGTTTTAAAGCCATGCTCATGTTCCTATTCAGGACTACCCATTGAGAAGCACGGTGTGGGGCTAATTGCGTTGGCTCTGTATTGTTCCCGGAATGAATCTGAGCACACCTGCAGGTCAGGCGTGGTGCTGGTAGGAACACACCTGAACCCCATGTGATTCCAGGCAATTCAACTCCAGAGGTAAAAAGCATCAGGGAATTATTTGTTTCCCATAGAAATTGCCATCCCTTAGGGAGAGTCCTTTATAGCATAAGATAAATAACTCTCAGATAAATAAAATTATCCGTAAGTATGTCATTCAAATTGTGATTATTTGGGGATTAGCAATAATAAAGTCATTTGAGTGATATAAAAGTATCCTGCAGCTAGATCCTGGGAATCTCTTGTTCCCATTCATTTGTCAAATAGTCTCATGTTCCGAACTCTCTGCTAAGTATTGGCTACAAAGGTAAGAGGGCTTGCCTCTTTAAACTCCCAATTTAATAAAAGGGAGCTTAAATGCTGACAATAGGAGGTTTTCTGTAAATGACTAGTTTACAAAGCACCTACCTGACCACAGAGACAGGGGCTATCTACCTCCATAGACATCGGCTGAAGCACTGTGTGGATTTCCAGTTGTTAAACTCTTACTGATCTGCATATCCCTTTTATTCTATTATCTTCTTTGACTCCCACATTGACCCTGTAAGGCAGATGGGGCATGAAAATCCTCATTTCATCAAACCTTAGGTAAGCTGAGTCTCTAGGAATGGCACTCACTCTCTAGTAAGGGGCATATGATAACCCTAACTCTGGACTTTTGACATACCCCTCCGTCACTCGCGGCTGTTTGCAGGACTTTCCTGTCAATTCCAGTGATCTTCAGACAGTCTGGTCCGCTAAGGAATGATCAGATCAAAGGCTTGAAATTTCTGCAAACAGCTAGACAATTGGCAGGACTCTTTCATTAGTCACATATGACCTGTTTTGGGGAAACTGTGGCACAAATACACTACGATGCTGTGGCCAGGGTAACAGCTGATTAAGTCTCCAACTTGAGTCTCCACTGTGGCTTTCAGATGTTATAACATAGAAGGCTGATCATCACCGTTTGAAGCAGAAGAACTGGTTTCACTGTTGGTTAAACAAGCTTTGTCTTCCTTTCCTCATGTACCTAAAGGGAAATTAAGACCTCATTAAGGTGGCAAACTTTCGGTTAGGATTCCGTGTCACTTCAGATTTCACACCATCTGTCTAGTCACCTCATTTTCCTCCACTTTTCGACAACCAGATGGCATTTACTTAAAATTTTATGTTCTGACTCTATATTTTGAGTTACATCTATTATTTGCATGCAGAGAGAATTCTTTTTGGCTTTTCATTACATTAGAAAATGAGAAAAATACATTTTTTACAAAACCTTAAACTGAATACTAATAGTTCTTGCACCATTCTTTTTTATTTTAAAGGCACTTTACAAATCATTTTATTAAATCTTTTTTAAGATTATAGATTTAAATATCACAAATGTATATTATGTTCTAATATCCCCACCCCACCCCACCCAAAAAAAAGAAATAAAGGAAGAAAGAGAAGTACAGTATGAAAGTTCCCACCCTCCATGGGATCATCCCCAATAGGTAAGAGAATTGCAGGTAGAGTAGACCAGCAGCTTATGAAATTACTCTCTGATGACTTATAAAAATGCCATCTAGTGTTGCTTCAATGCTTTACAGTTTACAAAGCATTTCAAATACATAATTTTACTTAACATTGAAGACTATAGTGTGACGTAGGTGTCACATCTGCTCCCATTTTACAAGTAAGAAAATTTGCCTTGAGATATAAAGATATGGCTAGAATGATTGTAGGGCCATTAGGTAGCAAAGCGGCAGAATTTAGAAAAGACACATCTTGCTGTGGTGCCATCCATGATCTCCTTCCTGCCCTCTGCCCATTGGCAGAATGGGCAATCTCAAGTGTCTTGTGCATGAGCTCCTCTTCTTACAGATAAGAAAGCTGTAAGGAATGGTAGAAATTGAAGGGGGAAAAAAAGAAATAAAGAGAAAAGGAAGTGAGAAATCCTGATACCTGGTGATTATTCTACCACCCCTGGGAACTATGAGAGCTACAGCAATCTTTAAGGAAAGCCAGAGGGCAGCAGGTCTTAAATACATACAATATGGCCCATCCCCTTAAAGCCCTGGTCACCAAATCAGGATAATTTCTTTCACACTCAACAAAAAGAAAAGCACACACCCTCCCTCCCCACATCCCAAATGTTACAATGGTGTGTTGACTTTTTGTAAAAGCTTACAGAGTCCAAACTCAGAAACAGATTGACAATGTGCTATAGCTCCTGAGAGGGAATCCAGAGACTGCAAAGTCAAGAGAGTGTGAGTAAAGCATCAAGCACTTAATTTCTTCCAGAAGGTGAGGGGTGGCAAGCCTTAGACCCATATCCATCTACCCCTGCCTTCCTAGTTGCCTGTCTGTACATGCATTCATTTTATAATAAATATTTGGAATCAAAAAGTATAAGTGCTAATGAATATTAACACGTTTATTTGAATTTTTTTAAAGAAACATTTTTTCCTAACAGAAAGTCTACTATTGTCACTAGTGATGAGCTTCATCATTTAGAGTATATGACATGTAACTAGAAATTGAATGATCTAAAAGTTTTACCTCTGAGGATTGGTGGAACTTATTTAAAGCAGATATAGAACAAATATGCCAAAAATTATATCCTTGGCATCTGTTAAGCTTATGATAACAGGTAGATAGAGTTTAACATTGTAACCAGGGGTACATAGATTTTCAAGTTATTTTCAGGAATACATAATCAAAATGCTAATAACTGCTGCCTTTAGGATACTTAGGACATTATATGATATTATCTCCAGTTCTTGGCACCGAGCTTGGAATTTCTCAAGTGGTTAGAATATTTTGTTATTCATAACAAAGCCTTCTCTAACACAGCTGAGTTTGTGACAATGAGGGGAACACATTATAGAGCCCTAGAGAACCTCAGCTTGGTCACCAGACAAGCCAAGCATATGGTAAGGGAGCTGAAATTGTGAACTACCCCATCCCAACCTCTTGGGGGGAAATAGGGGATATGGAGTTAAATTACATGGGCAAAGAGCTTATCAATCATGTCTATTTATGGAAGTTTCCACAAAAACTCTGA